TATTCAATGGCACACTTAATTAATAATGAAAGAAAATGGTAATAGGAGGGGGATAAGCTACCAAAAAAAAAAAAAAGGACTTGTCTCGTTCGAAGACGTGAAGTACAATGTGAAAAATAATAAACAAACAAATATATGCATCTCGCATCTGCCTTTTGCTAATCATGAATGTTGTAGCATATCTCGTAGACTCTTCTTTGAGTTCGAGGGAGATTGTAATTCATGTTATCGTCATTATACCCTCTTTGCTTGATCAGCTTGATTAGTTGGTGGATGTGTCTCAATATTAGTCGTGCAATTTCCAATTTCATACTTACATGTCAGACTTAGGACGCTCTCTATTTGTTGGGTGCTCCAAGGAAATGTTTCGTGACAAAATTCCACGTACCAAATCTTCCATGGTGTGCCTCAGCTTGGGATTACTTTTCGCTCGATAGCTCTTAAGATGGTTTAGGATCCCCTAATTACGTTGCTCTTCATTCCAATCTCCAAACAAGCCCCTAGGTAAGTTTGCAGAAATAGCCCCTTAAATTTAGTATTTACATTTCTGCCCCAGCATTTTCTAGATTTTGAAAGATGGTCCCCTAATTTTCTGGAATAAGCAAACTGTCCCTGACTTTTTGATTCTGAAAATCTACCCCTGTAATTTCCGTTTGCTGCATATACTCTCTTAATTTTCCACTGTCTATGAATCAGTCCCTGAATCTTTTGTTTGATACGAGTTGGTCCCTGAAGTTTCTGTTTGCTCTGAATACCTAAATTTTCTCGTATACTGAAATTCAGTCCATGATATGTTGGATGCTGCAAATCAATCCTTATTGGCCCACTTTGCAAACACATGGGATTTGTATTAAGGTTTGGCCTGTTAAACGACACAATACCCATGTGAATGGAATTATTTTACTTTGTTAGAGGATTTTTAACATCTTTCTTGAGATGTATAGGTGGATGGAAATGATGGGATGAAAATGATGATTGTGTTTAAAACAATCCAATGATCAAATGTCATGTGAAATTATGTCAATATATCTGTTAAAGAGGTGGGCAATGTAGCATGAATGCAGGATCATGTACAGATTTACCTAAAGAGTTACCATTTGTCGTTTCTTAAAATTCGCTATCACATGGTCCAAATTCTTTTACAAGAAGTTTTTAAAGCTCCCTATTTGGTGACCATTTTTATGGGAAAACATTATTTTGAATAGTAAATTTTTGGAGAACGTGTAGTTAAAAAGTAAGAAAAAATTTTGATTTACATGTAGAATATTTTGATGTGTGAATGTGGTTGAAAATAAGTATATTGAAAAAAAGATTTTTTAAAGAATGGGAGACAAACATGGACTAAATTTACCAAACACCTAAAATAACTTGAACCATGCTACATTGTCAATTTTTTTGTAATCTTTGTTAACAAAATGTCATGTGACATTTTATCATCAAATTGTTTTTTAAAAAAATCAACTTTTCTATCCAATCAGTTATTGTCATCACTGCATCTATCAAGTAGGTGGGTAAAAATATGTGACAAAGTGGCTTATTCCAAATAACTTGTTGGATAAAAAGAAGTGGAGCATTAAATTAATCCCAAATATGGCCTTATTAATTGTGCCCTTCGTTTAAAGATTTTCGATCCAAAAGATGCATTTCATATTGAATCATGCTACATGTACAACAATGATTGACAACATCCTATTTGACATCATCATATCCATCTATTTTAACATCATATTTTCTACATCACATACTAAAATTTTGACAACACATGATTGTTAACCATTGTTGTCAACTAATGTTGTACACATATTCATTCTTTCATATTCTATAGTAATTATTTAAAAAAGCACGAAAAGTGGGAAGGTTTCAGATTCTTCCTCTCTCCCAATGTCATATATAGAAATAAAGTGATCCATAAAGGAGAAAAACACCACTCTTTCGCCATTTTTTTTATTGAATTGAAGCAATAATAATTTCTCTCTTTATAAATATAATCATCAGTTATCAGAGGCAAGGAGAAAAATGGCCGATCAGCTGACGGATGACCAGATCTCAGAATTCAAGGAAGCCTTCTCCCTATTCGATAAGGATGGCGATGGTAAGCCTGTTAAGTTTGTATCTGTATAATGCATTCATGAGCTTGTCTCAAGTTGTTCTTTGATCTGCAGTTGAGATCTGTTTTCTGTTTCTCGATAATTTATTGCCGTTACATTTGTTTTCTGGGTTTCTCTTATTTTGTTTTTAAACTATTGTTTATTGAATTTGAAGTTTCCATCTTTTGGCGTCATAAATGTTTCTTGTGGGTTTTTGTGTTATCTTATTTGTTTTCTGCAAGAAACATGGATGATGGATCGCCTGCTAGATTATTCACGTCTATACTTTTCTATAAGTTGTGTGTGTGTGTATATTTATGATTGATTGTCTTCATGGTAGGGTTTTTGGTGTTAGTGAATTTTCCTTAACGAGATGGAGGATTTACAGGGTTGTCTATTCGCGTCTTTCAATTTGAACCCTTGTGTGTGGATTGACTGGTAGAATGTTGACAAACTTTCATTCTTATTGTGAATGGGTTTGATTTTGCTTGTTGATGTGACTATAATCCTGTTATTCGTCCTGGTTATATCACAACATTGTAGCAAACCCTCAAAATGTGTCTTGAAATGGCGGTTGTTTTTGTGATTAGGGGATTTGATATGTGATTTATGTTTGAATTGGATCATTTGGTGACATTGGTTGGAACTTGGGGGGTTTATGTTTGGGAAGGATTATGCGGCATTATGAGTATGACACGTTTTGCAACTGCATAGTACCTGAATTATTCCATTTGCATCTCTTTTACACATTCATTTCTTGTCTATCACTGACCATCAGATTTTTGTACCTGAATTAGTATTGAATTGATGTTTGTTTCATTTAAACAAACTTGCAAATGGCCTTTATCATGTTAGCTCCAATAATTTGCTATTGTAACTGCCTGTTTATGTTATAATTACATCTGAATACTTCTACAGGTTGCATTACGACCAAGGAGCTTGGGACTGTGATGCGCTCTTTGGGACAGAATCCAACTGAGGCCGAGCTTCAGGATATGATCAATGAGGTTGATGCTGATGGAAATGGGACGATTGACTTCCCAGAATTTCTTAACTTGATGGCCAGGAAAATGAAGGACACAGATTCTGAGGAAGAGCTCAAGGAAGCTTTCCGGGTTTTTGACAAGGATCAGAATGGCTTCATTTCTGCTGCTGAACTTCGCCATGTCATGACGAATCTCGGTGAGAAGCTCACCGATGAAGAGGTAGATGAGATGATCCGTGAAGCTGATGTGGACGGTGATGGACAAATCAACTATGAAGAGTTTGTCAAGGTGATGATGGCCAAGTGAGAACTGGACAACGCAAAACTCAATCTTTAAAAGTATTAAATAGACCCAAAAGTGGAAACAGGGAAATTAAGTTTGATGAGATTTCTGTTTCTGGTCAAGACGTGCTCTCCTGTTTCTGGGTTCTTACCTGCTTTCTTGTTTACATTGTTTTAAGTGCTTTTCTTCAGTTCACGCATATTTGCTCTGTCCCTTGTTTTGACATTTTGGGTTTTTAAGTATCTTCAAGTTTCTTTGACAGAGAACTTTCACTTATTTTCTTATCAGTGACCAGTTTTGTTGATATACTAATCTTTATGTCTGTTAAGATACATAGAGGATGTACACTTGTGTTTCCCTATAGATTTTGTGGCTTGAACTCACCTAGAGGTTTGCTGTTCTGAACGACATCCTTTGGATGTAAATTGAGTTATTTTGGATGCCTGTATATTTCTTGTGGCAAATTCCACTTCACCGTATAGTAGTCTCATAATGCTTGGTCTGAGCATCTGGTTCTTGTATGGTCGTCCTAGGGCATCTTACTTCCCTAACTGCTCCGTATATTCTGCCTCGATATTATGTAGGAGAATCAGTAGGGGAAAACAAAACCAGCAGATAATCCCATGCTAAACCAGTTTCTATAGTGCAGGGTAGGTATTCAACCTAGGCATCGAGTTTTTATGATTGATCCATAAGACTTGTACATGCTTNTATATATATATATTATCTCTCTCATCAAGGTTTATAACCTTGAAATTGACATGTTTTATAAATACTAGTGTACGCACGTGCGGTGCACGTGCTGCAGTTTAGTTGGGTAGTTAATAGTGTGAAGTGATTTTAAGGTATTTTTTTACTATAAGTAAGGTAATGTTTGTAAGGGTATAAATCATAAGTAATTGTATGAATTGATTCTTTTGTCAGTTAATCTTCCTTACAATGGAAAAGTAAACTGATTTTCTGTTATAATGTATGTATGTTATGGCATTAGAAAAAGGACTGCAAATTCATACAACTGATCTTCTGAAAAAAGGCACCCAAGACTATAATAAAATGTTCAAACAACTGAAACTATAGCATTGTATATAAAGTTAGTAACCAAGACTTAATACCATTACATAGATTGGGATGAATGATGTAGTTTTGCTTTGTGTACAAACTTTTTATTTCAAAAATGGTTGAGAATATTGCTTTATTTATTTTTTATGGTAAAAAACAGTTATTTTAAAAATATATTTTATAGTAACTTATTTATTTAGATCAATGAAAATATTATGGGCTTGTCTGGTTCTGATTTTGGCCAGATTAAAATTGCTAAATGGACCGTTACATGGCCCCATTCCAGAGATGGCCAGTCAACTAATGCGGCTTAATTCTTTGGCAACAGTCAGATATTTGCTTAAAATCAGGAAAATAATCGCTAGCAGACAACCCCTATATATCTGAAAATGTACATAAATGTTATTTAATGACTTTTATTTTATCTATGAACTTCTATAAGTTGACCTAATTGATATGAACTGGCGGCCTTCTTGGAATTAATCCTTTGCAATATTGCTCTCTGTGGAACATTTGCTTCAGGGCTCCTCTAGTATTCGACTTTAGTTTCAGCCTTGGGAGCTTTGGTTGAAGAAGGGTGTTTTTCCTATTTGTTGGGAATATCAGGTTGAATGGAAACTAAGATTGATGAAACGTCAGTTGCAAACTGATCTTTAGCAGGTTTTCTGCTTTCATAACTCTTGTAATCGTCATTTGCCTTTTGTATCTGATACATAAGACAATGGATATTACTTACGCTGTAAATACTAAGAAAGAATTAACATGCAGAAGTGAAACTTAGTGTGAGCTACTGAGATAACAGCAAGCCCACTGAAGAAACCTGTATAGCAAATATTACATTCAGAACTACTTGTGTATATCAACACTATCTACCTCCTGATGATTGCAGGATGGTATGCTTATTTATCAGAAACTATATTTTAAATAGTAATGCTTAGTTCCTGTGATTTTATCCGTTGTCATTTTGTATACTTCAATCAGAGGCGCGCTAGAATTTGCATATTGGTGGGGGAATTTTCACTAATACTATTTGTTATATCTCACACAAAAACCAAAACCAAAACAACAATTACATGAACAAAAAACAGGAAAAAAAAAGAACTAAACATCTTTGAAAAGATAATCAATTCTATTATCATTTTGTACTATATATTAATGTGTATGCATTTGAACAATTTTTGAAGAATATCTGAATAAGTAATAGTTCTAAACATCCTCACAATAAATTCAACCCTTTTGCAGTTCCGAATGCTACTTATCAAATAATTTACAGGAAGATGGCAAAAGGCAAGAGCCATGGTCAAGGCTGTGCATGTGATAGTCTGTGGAACACAAAATGTAGGTGACATACCTCAACTTCATCCAGGTTGACTCCATTTTTCTTCAAAAATGATAAGAAGCTGTGAAGTCTATTATCAGTTGGCTTATAATGTCTGAGATTAGATATACTGGAGAAAGCGAAATGTGATTGCAATAGTCGGAAATATATCATAGCAAAATCTTAATCATAGAAAAAAATATCTGATATTAAAACAATTATCGGATTTCCTGTCTCCATTACAGTAGTCACATTAACAAATATTATCCCAGAAAATTGTATTTTGATCTTGCAAATTCAAATACTTTATTATCATACCTTTAGACAACTGAAAACAAGACCGTTGATGCAATTTTAATCTTGCAAAGTTTTCCAATAAAACGTATGTTGCTCATTTTTGTTTCAATGTTCATTTGATCCCGAAATCAAAGAAGAAAAAGGTGATAAAATAATTAATAGTCTGTGATCAACAAAAAATCAATAAACAGAGTAATGCATGTAAAAGGGCTTTGTTAACCTTCATATTTATTAAAAAGTTGAATGCTTCCTCCAATAATTGTAAAAGCATGGAACAGATATCCTTCGTACAAGTTGACAGTGTGGTAACTGATGCTACCAAAAATCGTACCTGGATAAACTCGAACTGGATGGAAGAACTCCACGTGATCCGGTCTTCAATACTTGAAACAAAGGCGTCGATGTATGTCCTCGTCGCTCCTCCGATACTTAAGTTAGTCAAGTGCTCGAGAGAAACTTATGTTGAATGCTATGAAGAAAACGTACCTGAATAATTAGGCTAGGTTATGTATTTATAGATGTTGGAGGGAGAGTCCTGGAGGGACTTAACTTCATGTAGTTCTAGTTATTTTAGGTTTTTGTGTTATATTAAAAGTGCATAATTTGAGTTATGGTTAAATTTGTAATAAGCTAGGAGTTTGTGTTTAAGTAGGACTAGCATTCCTAGGAAACGTGTGGTAAGGTCGAAGGAGATATGTGAGTTAGGGCTAAAGACCCAACCTAATTATTGGGCCCGACCTTGGAAATGACCAAGCAATAGTGGGCCAAGGTTGGGCCATTGAGGTCAAGGTCGATCTTGGATCCATCACAATGAGTGTGCTGAGGTCAGGCCTAACAATGTCGAGTTTGAGCGTTCCTACATTTATATGCATCAGTAACCATTCGTGAATAGTATGGCAATAGGCCAAGAGATGTCCTAGGAACATTGAACAAAGCTCTCAGAAGCTTTTTCCTGTTGGCCTTCAAGTTTAAATAGCAAAACTCTACCTGAAAAATTAGTATTCTAATAATAAGAGCTTCAATTAAAAATGTATTTGTTGCAAATGAAAGTAATACACATGAAAGCTTGAACAAGAAGGATGGTTACAGTCAACTGATTAATGAAGTCACGGCTCACACAGCTTGCTTTAAACGCCATTTCCATAACATACCTGCGAGAGTATAATTGATCGCCAAGGATTGCAAATGCCATGCCAGCGACTAAAACTGTTTGAACTGGCTGGAAGCAAGCAATAAAAATCGGTCCTCCTTTCTGAATACACCAGGTCTGAAGAGCAATGACTATCCCAGAAGATATAATTCCTTGAAATGAACTCAAAGGTTGCAGAGCTTCTACTGGAGAAAAATTACAAGTAAACCATAAGCAATTTAGTTTGAAGTTATCACAGCATCTAAGATTGTGCATATCTCCTCCGCGGAATAAATTTTCCAATATTTAGGATCCCTTTCAACAAAAGCTGCTATGAATAAGAACTGGGTCAATCCAAAGAAGCACGTAAACGAGGTGAGTGAGAGTTTGGCAGGGTATTTCTTCAGAATAAGAGCCTGCAAAGTTTATTATTGAGTCTTGATCAGTAACTTTGATTGTGAATTTAGATAACAATTACCTTGGGTGTGAACAGTAATTAGCTTAATATTATTGTAATCCGTGTAGGAACATTAAGTATATTATAGGCCTACCTGAAGGACCATCCAACCAGCCCATGATAAGTAGTGACCAAGTAAAAATATACAGCCCCATGTCCAGTTTTGTATTTTAGTTGTATTAAAGAAACTGCCTTCTTCTAAGTTACTTCCCACTGGTTGTGATGCCTGGTGCAGAATCAGAGTGCTTTTATAGAAAATTATAATAGTAGCACCTCCTACACTTGCTATGGTCCCTAGAATTTTCGCCAATTCGTACTTCCTCATAATATTAACTTGCTAACATCTGGAAAAAGAAAAAGAAAAAAGAAATTCAATTATAAGTAAGCTATTGGACAATTCGACTTGTTAATACACTGGTTGGAGTGGAGATGTTGATACCCAAAGGTCAAAGCCATGATGAAAGTAATAGCGGGAACCGAGTTCTGCATTGCTGATGCAAAGGTTGAGATGAATAATACAAACCTAATATGTAAAATCCCTGAAATATATGTTTAATCTCTCTGTTGTGCGTTATTATTCAATGTAATTTTAGTACTGATATGCATATGGCTTTTCAGCAGTTGGGTAGCATCAACTTATAACAGAAGAAACAGAAGAAATGTTTCCTCTAGAACAGATGAAAATGGGCTAGGATGCATACATTCCATTCTAAATTAAGTGTTAAATATTGGTCACATTTTCCTTTTTTTTTGGTCTTTAATCATAGTTTATAGGTGCAATCTTTGTTTCATTTCTCCCTTTTTTTTAAAATATTTTTTTTAGTTATACCACTTTTTTTAAAAATACATTGGTTCTGTTTTTTGGAATTACCATTCACAGTTTTTGCTCCCTTTCTCAGGGTAATCTCATAAGTCTGGTCACAAAGATCTTACAGATATAGTTCGAGGGCTTTAGCTGCATATAAGCACAATAAAGGTATAAAGCAGCAAAACTAACGTATCCTGAAGGAAGAATTAAAAACAACAACAAGACCAATTCCGTGATTTAACATCCCCAAACAATTCGAAAATAGAAACACAACTGGATTATTAGTCAACACTAAACATTTATCTAATTCTAAATAGCCTTGATTCCCTAGGGCATCAACTTAGATCAATCTAGAAATTTATAACACGTCACGTTAAATTTACAGATAGATCAATTAACCGCTAATATAGTTTTCTTTCACGTCTGCATTAGATACTTCATATTTTAGATAATAATAAAAAATAGACAGAGTAATGAACAAGAAAAAAATAACTCAATTTGTCAACTATATTACCTTGTAATTCCAGAAGGAAGTGAAAATAGAGTACATTTCAATGAATATGCTGCCAAAGGGAGCAATCCTCCCATCATAGAAACTACAGATGGTGTCGAGTACCACTTCTTCTCAGGGATTGGTCGTGGAATGGTCTTCACTCGGCATGGATTGTTTGGAGCACCACTCCAGTTTCTTCCAACAACTGTACCAAGAAGTGTCGGGAGAAAGAAACAAAGGCCCAGATTATGAAGACAATCACCATTGTGCCAAAGGGAATGGCTGCTAGAGACCCATAAAATGTTGCAATAGTATTCAGAATGAAACCAATCCCAAAGCACAGAAAAGGAAAAAGTGAAGCTGGGAGAACTGTTGATTTGATCCAATTTTTGCCTGTGATATGGACAGAAGTATAATTTAGCATAACTATGGAATCAATTTGCTACATGAGTAAGGAAAGGTATAATAATAGGCAAACAAAGCATGCCACAAAGCAGGGGGGAGGTTAGGTACAAATGGCTGCACTTACCACCATGGCGTGAGTACATTCCACCACTGACGTAGACCGAGATGAATGATGTACAAGCATAACATATAATGAAAGTGGTGGCAGTTGCAACTTTCCTGCACAATTTAGTATAAACCATCAAGTTAGCAATCTGAATCAAATACCAAGAATATAAGGTAAACAAAAGTGATGCCAAAAAAATTTAAAGTCTGCTAATAAAAAAATATCCTATAGCCTTGCTGAATACTACTGGTAAAATGTCAACTGAAAAATATATTGAAAAAAGGCCATGCATACTCTGGAAAAGGGATTGGAGAATGGAGGGATGGAGGGAGTAAAGTACTTCAAATAAACTACAGAGGACTAAGATGACTAATTATAGATTACAAGTAAATTAAAATTAAGTTGCATTCGGCATACCCAATGTACAACATTCCAACAACTGCGAATAAGATGACATGGAGAATAAGCAATGCTAGCTGTGCGCCAGTGCCAACAAGAGCAGAGAGTAAAACTAAACAGCGGGCAGTCCTAAATACATCTCCATGAACATTGACATCTCTTTCCTAAACACAAGGACATTATATTCCCTCCAACGATGAATAGAAGAAATTATCGAGATTTATGTGGTGATACGATTATGACCAGAGTTTCCAAATCATCATCCTCGCCAGTATACTTTGCATAATCATTTCGCAGAGTTAGCATCAATATCATCACTTAAGTTGGAACTCAAGGCCCAAGCCTTTTTAAAACAATGGAACCAAGAAATCAAAATAAAAAATTTGAAAAGCGTAAAAAACTGCATAGTTTACTGAAGTGAAAACGAAATATATGTTAAAAAGAAGAGCCTCATTTTCCAAAGGTTACTAATATGGGTTTGTAGAGAGAGCACTTCTTTCGAAGGGTGTGAATATTGCTGAATAAACTGATGGTAGCCTGTAAATGAAATTATTCATTTTGTTGCTATATATATATAAATACCCATCAATTCCTGATAGTTAACTGACGCTATGCACATTATGATGCAGATTTTAATCAAACTGCCACAATTGTTGATATGGGGATCATTTCGTCTCAAAAAATGAAATTACAGACTAAGAGCATTCACTTTGTACAAAAGACCTTTAGAAGATGTGCATGAAAGGTTTGATGGGGACAATAATGAGGTGGTTGATATGAAAAGAGACATTAATTGGTGGGGAAAAAAATATGGAATTGTTCAAAAATTTCTATGCTATTACTGTAGAGTATATGTAAAAATCTCAAAAAATAATTGCATAGAGAACCTAAAATAGTTAAAAATTTTCTCAACCAATGTGAACCATTTCATTATCGTTCTCATGAGAAATTTTATTCATATATTGCAAAAGAAATTCTGTTTTGTTAAAAATTTATGCACGATTTATGGGAAATGGAACCTTTTAGGTCTATGCAACTAATAACTCATGTTTAAGGATATTTTTCTGTCTTATAATAATCACGTCTGTATGATTATAATTCAGCATTGCCTAGAATAAGAATAACCTTCCATGTCCACCGTCATTCATTGGACAACAAATAATGACTGATAAATCTATGGATGCTTATACATAAATCAAGATGCAAGTAGTATTGCCTCAAGAATAAATTTACCATGCCATCCTACGATCCAACTACATTGTTCACCTTATAAGCAGAACTGTAGGTCATGAACCCGAAACCCCTTAATCTACCACTCTCTCTGTCATAAACCAGCTTGGCCTCCATAACCTTTCGTTGCTCGCTGAAAAAGGTTTGAAGATCTAGATTCTCAACTTTTCATGCAAGGTTCCCCACATAAACTCTGTTGTTATTATCGAAACTTGCCCCGATCCTCCATTTGGTCCTCCAAATGAAGAATTTTCCCTCTTAGGGCGTGGAGGTCCACTATTCATTCTGAGTTGCATGCCTTCAAATTCTTGATAAACAAGGCAATTCAAGAATTTTATACACAATTTCAATAAAGAAGCTTGAGACACTTGATGCACAAGTAGCATAATGTCTATGACTATCACAATTTGAAATTCAAATTGTACATACAACTTCATGTATATACAATTTATAGAAGCGTATGCATTTTTGTACCCATAAGTACCATAAATGCGGAAACGCACTTATCCATTGAACTGTTGAATAGCACTTGCACCTTCCTCTGCAGTACACATTGTAACGAAAGCAAACCCTGTACTCTTTCTATAAGCTTGTCATAGATAAAATAGCATCAACTTTTGCCATGGGGAAAAATAAATTCATAACTAAACGTAGCTCAATTTATTTGATATCAGTAGAATTATTGAGAAGTTCAATTTCTACTGGCTACACAATTTCAATTGAACTTTCCTTTTCATAATTAGAAACAAGTCCGCAAATAAAACATATATTAAATTCATCTAAAAATATGTTGACTCTATAGTTTGAGATGGACCATCTACTGCTGATATTTAAAAACCAAATAATTTCAACTTAACATCCATATTTTATGTTCCGTATACATAATGAAATCCATTGAACCGGGATTTAGTTTGTCAATTTGTGGCTCTTCCATATTTTATGAAAGAGGACATTGATCGCCATTAAAAAAATAACAAAACAAACTCTATATACATAGCTGGTCGATCAATTGTCACTACATTTCCTACTCCCAATTCATTCAATTTTCGAATTAGATACACAAAGAATGTGAACTTTGCACAAGACTGCAAATCTGAAAGTGAGAACAAGACCGTACCATATCAGAAAAGGCATTATAACTTATTTCCGAAGGTGTTCGATTGAAGTAAAATTTTAGGTTTAACATATTTACGAAATGATGAGTACTTGAAACCTACGAAAACCTCCTGTCAATATCAACAAAAGCTCCAACAGTGTGGCGCCATTTGTGTGTTGTCATAAAGCCATGTGAACCCTGAAATTGCAAAAGCATGTTGCTAGTGAATAACTTATGTATTTATAACTCATTCACTAAAATAACTTTTCTATGTTAAACTCAAACTAATTTATCTTAATACAGAGATTACGGTTACCTTTCCCTATAAATTAGAAATCACTTAACAAATTGATGTTTCTTATATGTAATGTAACAAGGTACCTAATCCCAGAAAGCAATAAAGCTTCTCGTTGTAAACAAATAAACAACATTGCAGAATTAGTAAGAATACTCAATTCAGGTGCAAATAAACTAAATTTGCTGCATATGGAGGCAAAAGTATTATTCACATCCTCTATTTTGCAACTGACGCTCTGATAAATAAGCAAATTAACGCTTACTTAACATAAAAATGCAGTTCATGATAACAATAGTTGAGTAGGTGTTGAAAGTCTGGAAACGAATTTCACATATAGCTAAAACTTGCACAGCAGTGTAAAATAGAAGCTCAAAGAAAATTATGAGCCAATCCCCATTAGCCAATTTAACGGAATGAGTTGAGATGTATTACAGCTTTTATAAAAGATTCAATACTTAGTTCACCAAATAACGTTTTAAGACTTGTCTGA